TTTTTAGTTAAGTTAATTCAGTTTGGTCAGCAGAAATTTTCCTGACCAAAAATTCAAATAATAAAGCGATCAGTAAATAATTCAATTTTAATCAGTATTTAATTAATTTTTGCTCAGTAAAAGTAATAAACGCTCAGTAACCTTAATTAAAATTAGTAAAACAACATAAAATTTAAGAATTTTCAGTGATTACATGAGAATGTATGGCCCCTGCGCAAGAATGTTATTTATTATTGGTACTTATTTTTATATTACTGAATATTTATTATTATTATAAGGTGGTATATGTATTAGCAAGGGCCCCTGCGCAAGAATGATTTTAGCAAGGGCTGGAAACTGTGCACAAATGGTAATCAGTGTAATCAGAGTACGGAAACATTTTGTTTGTAAATCTGTGAATATTAAATTAATTAGTTTTGCTAGACATTCATTTATTGTCATTACTGTGCATTTATTATTTTACTGTACATTAATTATTTTTACTGATCAAAAAAACTTGTCGTTTAAATAATATACTGTGCATTTAATTTGTTCCCAATTGAAATTACCTCTCCGATGATAACTGTTGACTGAGACAAGATTTTGGGGTGTTAATTAGATACCAAATTTTGAAGGAGTCACCAGTACCGGTTGACGTATTTAGGTTGTTGTAATCGCCATAATTAGTTTATTTTAATTTTTATTCAAGCTTTTTGAGCATAATTAGCTCGGGAAGTATTTAATTTATAATTAAATAAAGACTTTGCAGTCGTTCTGATGTGATAACATTGTTGGAAATTTGTTGGGGGAAGTGCCAAGGAAAATTACAAACTGGATGGGTGTGAATTAAAATTTAAACTCGACGCTTATACAAGCTAAGAAAGTACGTGCTAATTTTCATTTGCAACACTCAGTTTAGTCTAGGTCTAGACTGCTAATCAATAAAACCGCAATATGTACGTGCTTAAAGGCGAAAATGTAGTGATTGTGCACAACTAAGTACTAATCGAAAGCAAACACTCGAGCCAATAGATAGATAAATTAATAAACTGGTAAAGAGAAGAAGACTTGTATGGTATGAGAGTAGTTCTAATTCCAAACTTTTAAAACATACAGTATCATTTAACAAAATTGAACGTCAGGTGCAGAAAATTAATAGTAAATTAAAGATCCATAATCTAGAGCCATTTAAAACTGTAATAATAATAAATAGTTTCAGAAGTATTTGTTTACTTTTCTCACTCCACTTCCCATCCCGCGTTATAACATTATTGATGTATTTAATTTTTTTTGGATATCTGTAGAAAGTTGAGATTGATACCAATTACTGGTCAACCGTAACATTATTACGCAGCTCAACATTCAGTTTCAATAATGTGGAAGTTCAAGTATCGTAAAGTTTACTCTGAAATATCAAGCTTCATATAAAGTAGCTTTAACATTTATACGTTCATTACGTACAAGTATCAAACCCTTTTAACAATTATTATGTGATTATATTTTTAATGAGGGTATAATTTAAGTAGAAAATAACGTCTGTTTATTATGTAATTTGGATACCTTTAGTAATCATTAGGTGTTGTTCCTTTACACAATATTCGACCGTTTGGTTATTATGGCTCTGTAGGGGATTTTGTGGTTATCTCACCACAATATTTGCTATTCACCTATGTGAGTAATAGCAAGTGATAGTTAAACATTCCGGGAATATTACAGTGAGGTGTTGTTGGTTAGTATGAATTTCTTTAAAAGGGTGATAAAAGCGACATGATTAGTTTTACGAGACGTAGTTGATAAAAATGTCTTGGGAGCAGTTCGCTGGGGAGTTTCTCCGATGTGGAAGTTCTTAAACAGTCCCCTGGACGCGTCAGAAAGCTCTCTTGTGTCCAGTAGTGTATGGAGTTTCAGTCCAACCGCAATGTTTTACATTCAGTCCGGAGAAACGGCTCGTAGTCGTTTGATTTTTGTCCAATACCATGCAGAGATTAGAAACTAGTGAAGCATAACGTCATAAAGGCACACATTGTTATTAATACAAGACTGGGGGGCGTCCCAAAAGGGGCGGTGTAATTACAGGGTCCGTTCAGCAATCAGGACACCCTTGATGTTCGAGAACTCGACTTGCCAACTCCACTCAACAGTACTTTGTTACAGTTGGAAAGTTCCATCTCTTTACAGGAACTTAATAACGCAAAATGTTGCAAATTCGTGTTGAGAATTAGTCGCTGCGTTCCGTTGGTATTTAACTATTCTTGATGATAACAAGTTATTTGCGACGCCGGTTGTGATCCAGGTCGTTTATCATGGGAATTTCCAGACATTTGGAAAAGTCGGGACTTTTTCAACTGGCAATAATTACTCCGAAACAAAACGAACGAACGTGAATAAATAACTGCAATAAGCCGGAGTTCTGCACCAAATACCGGGTAATGTCCTGTCGGGAATCGAGACACGATATAGGCGGGCCCCTTGCAAATATTCCTTGAGCTGTGTTAGCAAGATTCATGGATTTAGAACGAAATCGGTTCTCAGCTGCTATTAGGAGAATTATGCTATACTTATCAAGACTAAGTCTGCAGTCTGTTCGTTATAACAAGGATCCTCTTAGTTTAAGTCAATTACTGGAATTGTTTCAGTTTGTTTTGCAGACTTCTGCATAAAGTCAATACATTTTCGAAGCTCGTCCAAGACGTAGTTTACGTGCTTTAAACAAAGCCTCTACCAAAGTCAAGAAAGATTTTTAAACATTTCAAATAAACTGTTTAGTTGTTTTCCATTTTTTTACTTCTTCTATATATTATACATTATACAACTTTAGTCGATTGCGAGTAGCTGTTAAACGACCAAATGTCTCTTTTAGCCAGCGTATACATCAAATTCCTGCAATTAACTCCATGCCTAGGGCAGAATGTTTACTATGCAAATGGTTGGCTCATTTAAAACCGGTATTTTGCATGTTTCTATGTAGTATCAGTATTTCCCCCGTTCTTGAAATTTATTTCTCCGCATTACCGAAGTATCTGTTTACAGAGTGCAAGTTTGTTGTGAATTCTCTATTTGAATATGGTAAAATATGCTTGCACATAGAGACACAAGTGCGCTTATAGGCTATTTATGAAACGCTATGCAGTGACCCGTATTTACACAATTATTTTAGTAAGAATTTATATTCATCCGGTGCGACGCTTCCTCCATGTTTAATAAAACTACATTCGTTCATTACCTGACAGAATATTAAAAATTTCCCTCGCATTAATTTGTTGATTAAAAACAATGTGAGCAACAAATGTGTATAATGCAAGCTGTTCTGGGTAAACCCCTCATCCCACATTAGAAATATTAGGAGTTCTGACAATGATGTTTGTCTAAAATTTTGTTTATAGCCATAATCGGGTAGATTCTGTTTAATGAAAATATTTTCAAGATGGCGACACTTTCTATTACACCGGAAGTGGCTGTCAACTTTGTTATTTTAAATAAAAACTTATGTTTTTTATTGCATTTTTGGATTACTCAAGGGATTTTGAGAGATTTTTTATTAGCTATTCCTATACCTAAAGTTTAACCGTTTTCGAATTATTTAGACCTTTTTACAATTTTTTGGATTTGAATTTTTCTATTGAAAAATCAATTTGGGTATACGAGAGAGAAAGGTAAGATCGTTGCTTTCGTGGATTCATAATTGAAAAAATAATTAACAAACCGCCAAAATGTAAGATTACGTTTAGGAAACTTCAAATACCCTTAACTCAATTTTTCTAAATGAAACACCCCAATTTTTTCTTCGCTAAATGGAGGAGAATTTAGTTCTGCTTCGATCTGTGTTAACATTTCCTATACCTATGTTTGATAGTTATAGAACTTCTTTTGATATTGTGGAAAACTCATTAGCCATAGCTATTTTAGAGAAATAAGAAAAAATAGAATATCAAAGTTATTCAAATTTAGATTAAATAAATTTAATTTGTATTTACGAAAACGAAATAACGGAATTTCCGGTGTAACCGAAAGTGCTGCCATCTTGAAAATATTTTCTGTGAGCAGGACCTAAACGATTGTGGCTATAATCAAAATTTTAGATAAATATCACTGTTAGAACTCCCAATATTTCTAATGTGGGGTTTAGCCGGAACAGCCTGCTGTATATAAATATATTGACTTTGAAATCAAAGAAAACTGTAACTTTAGTTTTATTTTGGTAATAAATATAAATATAAAAGAAATAATTACAATAAATAAAATTTGGGTGTGTACTTTTTTGATCGTAGTGACAGCTGTATAATATAAAAAAATCACCACATAATTAAAACACAAACCATATGTCGACTTTTTATGTAATAAATATCAGACATTGCAGGAAATTAAGAACTAATAGACACAAGATAACTTACTTATCATGTTTTAGGAAAATGTGTCAATAATAATAAAGCATGCACGTGAATGATTCATTCTTTATTATTATTATTATATTTGCAAATATGAAGCGTTTTGACTTGAACTACATCACATTGTAAGAATAATCGTAATAAATTTGGTAAAACTTTGAATAAGTATTCCACAGCTCACGCGAATGTGGAAATAAATCGTCAGGAGCGTATAATTTCCACTCGTCGAGTGTTGTTCTAATTAGAAGATTTTTAATTGAATCCGACACATTTTAATGAATATTTAGAACACTAGAAATGTAAATATTCTCGCCCTGTTAGACCCGTAAGAAAGTTAGCATGTAAGCTGGCGCCGAGATTAAACAAACGCTGAAAGGACGTAAAGAGGACGCTTGGTTGGTTAACCAGGCCAGGCCGCACTGCAATTTCCTGTGAGACTTGAAAGCTAAAGTGCTTTTGCTTCCTATTACGGTCAAAGAAATTACAAAAAGAGTGCTGATAAGACGAATAAAGATGCTTCAGTTATGATAGAATACGATATCATTACCACCGCCTCGTCTCAACGTCTGGGAACTGGCCAACTTAATTTCAAAGCCTCGCATTTTGCATTTAATTGAAACGTTTCTTCTATTCCAGGTGTCAGACTGTAACCGCGATGGAAACCGAAGAAGAAGACAGTGAAGAAACACAACCTGTACGATGATCCCCCCAACTCACACCATGCCATCTCTTAATCTCCACTTGGCCATCATCATCGGCTTTTGCACCCAAATGATCGTAGCGGACTGTCCGCGATTATGCGAGTGTAAATGGAAGAGTGGCAAAGAATCGGTTTCTTGTCCCAACGCAAACTTATCTTCAATACCTCTTCATCTGGAAGCCGGCACTCAAGTTCTCGATGTCTCCAAAAACAATCTCATCACTTTAAAACACGACGAGTTTAGCAAAGCAGGCTTACTTAACTTGCAAAAGGTGTACTTGTCTCAATGTCGACTAAAGAACTTGGAACGGTACGCTTTTCGTAAACTAATAAACTTGGTCGAGTTGGATTTGAGCCATAACTTCTTGAGTAGCGTTCCTTCACACACGTTTGATTCTATTCCCGAATTGCGGGAACTAAAACTCAACGATAATCCCATACAAAGAATACTCAACGATGCTTTCATTAATGTTCCACAACTGATACGTTTGGAATTATCAGAGTGTCGTATTTCGACTATCGAACTCCAAGCCTTTCACGGTCTAGAATCTTCACTCGAATGGCTTAAACTCGATTATAACAAACTAACCGAAGTGCTATCTTCTTCTTTTACGATACTAGAAAATTTGCACGGCCTCGAACTCGCCGGAAACCCTTGGAACTGCTCGTGTCCTCTCCGCCCTCTCCGCGAGTGGATGTTACAAAAAAATGTCCCTTTCGGCATCCCCCCCATCTGTCAAAGCCCCAAACGTCTTCGGTCCAAAACCTGGGACAAATTAGACCTCGACGAGTTCGCCTGCATCCCAGAAATCTTCGCATACGAGAGTAAAACCCGCGGAGTAGAAGGCAAAAACGTCACAATGACTTGCCGGATCACTGGAATCCCGGAACCCTCAGTCCGATGGTTGCTCAAAAATAAAGTGATTGCGAATCTTTCCGGTTCCTCTTACTCCAACGGTAAAAAACTCTACATGGTGCACTTGTCCAACAACTCGAGTGATTTAACTATTTTCAGTGCCGATCTGCAAGATGCAGGTGTGTATGTGTGTGCCGCGGAAAATAAAGCGGGTCGTGCTGAAGCTAGTGTGACATTAGCCGTGATTAGGAAACCGCCTGAAACCGCTTTCAATAATAAAATATTGATTGCAAGTGTTATTACGGGTATTGCGTTGGTTTTAGCCTCGTGTTTGATCGCACTCTGTGTATATTCGGTGAGGAAGAAACAAATGCTTACATGGCGGACTCGCGAGTGCAGGCGGGAGGACAATTATGAGAAGATTGAAATGAATCATAAAGTGTCGGGGAATTCGAATGGAGGAACGGTACAAGCAGAAATCGCGGTTGTGGCAACAAAGAAGAATGGGGAGTATCGGGTTGTGCCAGTGGCGGATAATGAAGAGGTTGAGGAGGAGGAAGAGAGCAATGTCGAAGCAGCAGCAAAGAGGATATGGCAAGAGAGTGCCGTTGAAAAAAGGTGGAACTCGCCGGAACATCTTTTGGATCCTGAGGATCTTCACATACCAAGGAGGACTCTACAAGAGGCAAGGTGAGGTGATGAAGCGATGCACACTTCCAGGTATTTGCCACTTAAAGTAACAATTTTGGATGAATGTTGTTTCAACTAGATGTTGTAGAAAATAAGATAAGATAGTTTGACACAATTTTTAAAAACTTACTTGAAAAATCTTTAATTTATGTTAAATTAAGGAAACCAGAGATACAAATATTGAATCTTAGCTTATGGTTTCGCGTCATTCATCTGTCTAAGAGTCGTTTGACATGCAATTGAAGATTTTTACTTTAAAATTTTAGTGTCAGTAGTTAAATATTTTCATTTTAACTGTAAAATAAAAAAGGAAGTTATAAAAAATTTATAATAATTTTCTTGCTTCCGATATTATTCATATACAGTCAGCGGCAAAATTAGTGAATAATCTTATTTATTCAAACTGAAAATATTTTGTTTTGACAAAAATCCTCAAACAGGTCAGTTGTCTTTTTAAAAAAACAAAATTCTCAAGTTAATTATCACGTGGGTTGATTGTATCACTTTCAGTATTTATCTTTTTTGTACTCTCAATCTCTGTTTATTGTATTGTGACGTATGTAAAGTACCTATTGTACCGTATTGTATTTTATTGTATTTTATTATTGTATTGTACCGATTACAAAATATGTTAAAGAGAAAACAACCGGTAATTCATAAGCCGGACTCAAAAAATTAGTATACTGCTGAGTGTTTCCTTTTTAAATTTGTTTTCAAACCAAGCGGTTTTTATTAAAATCATTTGTTTCCAAAAAATAATAATTAATACAAATTAAGCATATTGTGAGTGTTTGGATCTGCACTGTCAATTAAAAATGCATGTTTTTCAGTTTTAGAAATAAGAATAATGTCTGGCCTATTAGCAGTTATATTGAAATTAGTTACAACTGTTCTGTCCCAGTAGAGTTTGTAATTATCATTTTCTAGAAATGAATCTGGTTCATATTTGAACTGAGAATAAATTATTTTGGCTACATTATGATGCCTAACTTTATAGTCTGATGCAGTTAACAATTGACAGGAAGAGATGAGATGTGGAATTGTTTGTGATTGTGTTCCACAGTCTACAAAGATCGTCATTACTTGTTTTGATTATGTATTTTTGATAATTTTTTGTTTTGATTATTTCGTCTTGGATTGAAAAAATAAAACCTTCAGTTTCTGCAAAAAATATTTGTTTTTGTTAAGCAAAAGTGTGAAGCTTTTTTAGCAATGTAGCTGTTGTTTAGTTCTTTGAAAAATCTACCATGTAAAGACTTTTCTTTCAAATTTTTATAATTACACTTTCAGTAATGTTTGGATTACTTAAATTTCATAGTGTAAAATTCTCATCACTCAAACAAATAACCTTGATCAAAATATTATTATTACTCTGATCTAATGATATTTACTGAGTAAACAGTGTTTTGATTTTGATATTAATGTTTTGTCCAAAGGAATATACTAATACCGGTATTGCAAACGTATTTATAGTTTTCATAAAATTTTTTGAATTTAGTGAGTTTTAAGCAATTGCCTAGACCTTATTATGAAACTATCTACCAGTGTTTCTTTAATATTACTACGTGATATTTTCTTTGACTGTTTGAAACCTAAATACGTACAAATCACCATTATTAAGGCTTTCAATATTTTCACGATTTTCAGTCAAATAATTTAAATTTTTATAATGTCCTTTATTAATTGCTCGAATTTTACATTTTTATCTACTCCAAAAGACACACCTATATCTGTTAATTTAAGTAATAATTTAAGTTGTTTTTCAGATGTAGCATACTATTATTATTATATTACAGGGTGATGAAAAAAAGGCGCCCACGATTGAAACAGGCGCGTCCTTTTTTATTAAAACATTGTGACCATCATTCCAAAAATGATCTAAATAGATTCTTTTTAAAATTTAAACAGTTTGCCTAACAGCACAAAGCGGCAATATTGAACAATTTTCTTTTACTAAAAAACTATTTCACTCAGGTATTTTTCGCATCTAGGAAAGATATTGTCACCCGCATAAAATAAAAAACTGTAAAGTTTACAAAATTTTATTATTCCAATACGATACGACCAAAAGGTATCTAATTATTTCAATTAATTTTTTTAATCTTTGACTTTTTGACTTTAATCGTTCAAACTTCACAGAACAAACAACATTGAAAATTGATTTTTTTGTTGCTACCATTTCCAATAATTGAATATTACTTGGAAATTTTCTGTACCCTAGGATATTTGCAATGTTGCAACATTGATAAATTTTCTTTGGAGCTAAAAAATGGTATCCTAACATCTTCAATAAAGTTTATTTCAATAGGCTTTTTACACATTTTTTTAAGAACTCCGTCAACTGTATCAGAATCTTGACTTTAACAATGAAATTATTTAACTGTTAATTATCTAGATTTCTCTTTTCTAAAAAGGAAAGTCTATATCTTACTGATAAGAGCACAAATCCAATTTTGGTCTTCGAATTCGTCTTTAATAAAAGATCACTTATAACATGTGGGTTAACACGGGCGCCTTTTTTTTATCATACTGTATATAATGGTATTATTTCATTTTTTTAATGATTACTTTTTGGAAAACTTTATGTAATATTTAATATTTTGGTGTTGTCATTTCGACAATTAAAATATCTATCAAATTGACTAAAAAATTACTCACAAACTAAAAAATGTAAAATTTTGAATCAAGCTGTATTTTTTGTGTATTTATTAAAAAGAAAATTGACCTGTTGGAGCATTTTTACAAAAACAAAACATTTCTAGTTTTAATAAGAATAATTTTGCCGTTCACTGTATATTTATTTACACGTTTTTAAAAACATGTATTAATTTTCCTTTTTTAACTATTATATTATTTCTATTAAAGAGAAAATAAGTTGTTTCTACTCTTCTATCTCAAAAAAGTCATATTCGCAAAACTACAAATTGGAATTGGTTCTTAAATTTTTACAAAGCACATTTGTCAGTAATTCATTCTAAATAAGTGAGTTGCATGAAAATTTTTGTCGTATATATTCAAATTTAGTGTGCGGCATGTGCGTGTTTACCGTCTCGAGGTCTGCGTGAGATTTAGTTGTGTAATTTTTTTCTAGAGACGATATCAGGAAGGGGTTCAATTCGACGTCTGGTATATATAGTGGATACGAGCAGCCGTCGACATCACTAAGCCAAAGCGTGGCACCGCATCTCCTACGCAGGCAAATATCCGGAGGGCACGCGACAACCTACAACAGCGAGCTGTCAAGCCTGATGGAGGACGAGGGTGACAAGAAATATCCGGATTTGATTGAGAACTCTTCGTACAAGTTCGGAAACAAGGCGAACAGCGTAGGTGGCAGCGTAGCCGACATAACAGAATTGTTCTGCACTTTGCCACGAAAAAGAACCCTCATTCAAAGCTCGCGTTATAAAAGCAGCGACAGCCAATCACCCCTGCTTCCGGAGAGCAGGTACGGCAGCAGCGGCGGCGACAGCAGCTGTGGCAGCCAGGAATCCGGGCTCCGGAGGCTCTCCGACTGCCCCAAGTACTCGGCGGTGAATCTCAACAAAAACAGGGTAAACAAAATCTCGAATAGTTACTTAAACTTGACGCGCGAGGAGGACCTAACCTCGACGCCGTTGCTGGACGTGACAGGGCTGGAAAGCAGGGTGGGTTTCTCCCCCACGTCCGTCACCCCGAATGCTAATTCCTACGATTATCATGCGGCCCAGCTGGAGCGGTTTCTGGAAGAGTATCGCAGCCTCCAGAAGCAGCTGACGAAAATGAAGGAAACTTGCGACAACCTGTGCCAGGATCATCTGCAAGCGGGGTCGCCGGCGGTGACCCCGTCGACGTCGAACGACGATGTTCTGAGGAATAATCCGGTGTCGCCAAATTCAAATCAGTCACTCGAGGACTCGATTGATTTTCGCAATTTTGAGAGCGAACTCACCAAGTATTTGCTCGCCAAAAGTTCACCCTCCCCGAAAACTTTCACCAACAACAGCGGAGTGTTCAATAATTGAATTTTCCGACAAAAATTTATGTCACAGTGATAATTACGATGGCAATTGTCGGGAGTGATGCTATTCTAGAACTCTTCTAAAGGATTAACTCGACTCCTGCAAAATTTTTACTAATGTGAATAAATTAACAACATTGTACATATCTGGAATAATTGTTACGTATCATTTGTTTGTTAAATGTTGATAGTTCTAGCAGACATTTGTGATATTATAAAAGTAGAATTTTATTTATTGACTTGATGGGTTTTTCATATCGTACGAATTACGTTCTACTGTAATAACACATATCCTTTATAAGTTTGTAAATTATTTAAATAAATGCATTCTATTTATCATCATTTCATTCCATTTCCACCATCCCTTAAAAAAATTAAGAATATTCTAAAAAAAGCAAGTAAAAAGCTCATCCCTTTCGAGGATTATAAAATATTAAAGCAAATACGTTCTATTTATCAGAGCTTAGTTTAGCTGCTCTATAAACCAGTCTTCGATTTCTGAAAGTTTCCCTTTTAGTGTATCCCATTTTTCAATTAGGGCCACCGCTCTAGAAATTAATACTTCAGGATTCAGGATGTGGTAGGAAGCCGCAACAGCCGCGTCGTCCCACTTTAAGCCTTGCGTGGCGTTATGGAAGGAATCCGGCAGGACTCGTCTCTAATGTGTCCCTCAGGACTCATCTCGCATCCACGATGTTCATATAATGCCCTCTAACGCTGCTGTTTTGACCCATCTAAACGCCCGATATAGATTTTTTCAGCGACAAAAAAAACAAAATAATTAAACGCTGTAAATTTTACATTATAAACGCCCCTTTAACCACCATCGTCAAAATAAACGCAGAATTTTATTTACTTCTTATTCAAATCAGATTCTTATGTCGGCACTGCGAGAACGAAAAATAACGAATTAAATATTTGCTAAAGTCGGGAAATCGAAAGCTTTCACGATGTCATGGCGGCTGTCGGACCGCCAGATTCTTATAGAAATGTTTATAGACTTTCAAGCAACCCGATTCCAAAAAAACCTGAATGTTTTAGTCATATAAATCAAGATTTCTAATGTTGCAAGATCAAAGACATTAATAAAAATATAAATCAACGTTTTTTGTTATTAATTCTAAACAACGAAATGTCTTTTAGAAAAAATTGTCTTTCTTGTAGTCAGTTGCAAACCATCGAGAGAAAAAATTGTGTAAGAAATAATGGACAAACTGACTGTATTCAGGCTCATAAATATTTAATTTCTCGGAGTGGAGATCATGAAGACGTGAAATTGGAAAAAGTTGTTTCTATTTAATTATTCCATAATGTCATTGCTAAAGAAGACTACATTTTGCGAAATCAAAAAACTAGAACTCGTATTTTGATTGTTAATTTGGCTAAAAGGATTTTCAATGCCAAAACCAAACCGAGCCTTATTTGGAGTTTTTTGAGGTGATTTACGCTTGTCTAGACTTGAAGAAAGCTGAAGGTTGAATTTAAAAATATCTTCGAGCTTTTAATAATTAAAGAGAGTTTTTTGCTTTGACAAACACGTCGTAAATTCGTGTTCAAGTTTCCATATATTGTCTGAACGTAAAATTTTATGGCGGAATAAATCGCATCGGCTGCCATTTTTGTAATTTAATGCAAGTTTCCGCAAAGTTTAAATTGCACCGACGTCATTATTGGCAAATTTGTGTCGTCGAAAGTCTTAATCGATGAAAACTTGAAAATGTTGTGTTGGTATAGGGCGGCGATAATTTAGTGATTTTTTGGTTGTTGTGTGTAATAAATTGCTCCAGAAATTGGCTTCGGTTGTTGTGTAGGCATCGCTCTTGATTATATAATTGGGAAACTTAAATGGGTTTTGTTAATAGTTTTCCGATAATTCCGACAGGTGAGTGATTCGGTGGCGGTGGAACGGCAATTATCGGGAAGTGGGGGTAAAAATAAAGTTTATTGTCGGCGGGGTGTCTAAGAGAGAAAAATTCAATGAGCTCTCATTACCATTTATATTGTTGGATTTTTATAAGTGGAATGAATGATAAGAAGAAAAATCCCGGCTGCTTTCATTCCAGTAGAATCTCTGCTATGATATATGTCTCCCTAAATCGAAAATAGAGCAGTCTCATTCGATTTATAAGAAATGAAAAGTATTCAAGGCAAAGGTTTTTGTCTGCGGATTTCAAAAGAGTTCAAGATTAAATTATTCATCCCAATTGAAATTTCCAAGTTCATTTTCAGGTTGAGGAGGAGAATTTCGCCGATCATTTCTGAGATTTTATATTGAGTTTGTATTGTTGGTTATTAGGACCGCCGCTTCGTTACAAAAATGTAATAGAAGCTTGTTAGTGCCTTCGCAATTTCCATTCGCTGATTTTAACGACGTTCGTTCATTCAATCTCCTAAACATCCTTTTAAATTTATTAGTTTCAAAACGACGCCTGGGTCAGATTAATATTAAAACTTTTACGCCGAAAAATTCCACTTCAAATTTCTTCTTTTCTGTTTCTTTAAGCATATTATACCTTTTTTATGGTTCAATTGTCGGTAGCAAGTTTATCGAAATGTAAAACATGGTTAGAGCAAAAGTTTTAAAATCGGGAGGGAGCGAAGGCCGCCACTCCTACAATCAATACCGAAGACATGGGCTATTTGTCATGAACTCACTTCCAACGATTTGAATTTAACGAGTTCTACACATTTTCACATTGAAAAAATTGAACAACTTTTAGTAGTAGGCACTATTTGACATCCATATCAGGACAAAATAAAACATATTTTCAAAGGCTGCACAAAATCTGCATAAAAATATACAGTGAGCGGTAAAATTATGGAATAATCTAACGGTGAATTAATTTAAGAATTAATTTACTAAATTTTCGAATTTATACTCTCAATTAACTAAAAAGTAATTTAAGTATACACCAATGTGAATCTCAAATATTACACAAACATTTGTGAAAATAGTGACAATCTATAATAATATATTTAAATGCTTTTTATTCTTCTGCTTAATGCCACTGCTTGTTATTTTTTAACTAAAAAACGAACTATATAAAATATGCTGTTCGACCAATAAACAAATGGCGAAAAAAAAGGTTTCTTCAACAATTTATTAAAATCAATGATTACAAAAGTTCTTTTTACTCGCAGGACTTCACAATTATTCCACCATTTATTGCGATTAGTTCGTCTTAAAAATTTAAAATTTCAAGTTTGATGAATATCAATAATGACCAGATTCTGATTTGCGCATGCACAGTCACCGATTTTATCAATTTTATTTATCATTTAACGTAAAAAGTTAAAAGTCTTGAATTAAATTAAACCTGAAATACGAAAACTTAAATGTTAAATGATCGTATAATATTACCATTGAAAACGCATACTTAATTGATCTTCTTAAATGTAATTTTTTAGATTAAATCTTAAATAATAAATTTTAAATATGGAAGCATAAAAAATTCACCATCATTTTTTATTAAAATTGAAAATATTTTGTTTTGACAAAAATGCTCGAACAGGTCAATTTTCTTTTTGAAAAATACAAAATACTGTTTTGTTGATATTACTTCAATTTTTTGGTATTTTTTTTTAAACTTTATGTAATATTTCATATTTTGGTGTTGTTATTTCGACAATTAAAAAATCTATCGAATTGGCTAAAAAAATTAGGGGTTTCCATTAAAAAAATGTCGATGACGTCATTACTTAAAAATCAAAAAGTGTAAAAGTTGAAAGTTAAAAAGGAAATTGACCCATTCAAGGATTTTTGCCAAAACAAGTTAAATTTTAATAAAAGCATTTCATAGTTTTGCCGCTGTATACATATTTTATAATTTTATAATTTTTGCAATTTTTTTTCCTTAAAATTTTCAAATTTGCAAATATAGGTGGTCCAGAACTCGCGCCCCAGAGAAAAATTAATTTCCAATTATTAAGATAAGAAACCAGGAACATGGAATAATTACTAAAGGTACACAATTTTTGCCTATAAAAGCCACAAATAACGTTAAACAATTTAGGATACAGCTTCCTTGTTTCCTCTTTTAATATCCTGTAGCAAAAAAACTAATTGTTTTCCAGTAGAAATAAATAGAGTCAAAGTGCAAAATTAGCTCCCATAATTTCGAAATTTTTATAGATAGAATTAATTTTTTTTCCATGTTCCTGGTATCTTATTTTACATTGCATTTTGTTCTGGGGTGCAAGTTCGATTAAAAAAATAGCTGCATATAAAATAAAAACTATACTCTAGAAGTTTACAACTTGCTACATTTTGTACAAAAATATCTAATCAAAATTTGCCCGAAAAAAGTTCTGATGATTTGGAAAAATAACCCAATGTAGTCAAAATTAACAAAATCCCAAAATGCCTCCAAAGTGCTAAAAATTTATTAATAAGGAATCAGGTGCTTGAAATGTTCGGGAACGCATAACTAAGTTTCTTACTAAAAAGGAAAACTTTTGCCGTCAGTTATGGTATCCAATCTCTGAAGTTGAGTTTATATTCCGCACCGAAGCGAAGGTCGTTTCTGCGCCATTCCGCTTATATGCAATGTATTCGGAAAGAGATTCGCAAAGACGCAGATTTTCATCTGTGAAAGAGCAACAGTTGTGCTGCGGCCTCTCGACCTCCGGCTTCAAAGACATTTTCCGAATTATTCGGCCGATTAATAAAACGGTGCACAATTCTTTCGTGAAACGATTGCGACTCTATCGATCTCGTTGTCAAAGAAAATTATAGCACCGCTTGTCAGTGTATTAAAATAATAGGCAATAAATAACGCGAGCACTCTGGGCAACTATTAATTCCGGTTTGATTTTATTCGTGGCCCAGATATTATTCCGATTAATTTATGAGTTATAATATGGACCGATGCACAACACCGCAAAATAGTAATGCCAATATGACAGTGTTTCCGAGCCAATTCCTCGATAAATCTTGCCGCAATCGATGTAATTAACCTTTATCTAGTCGAAAGTGATTTTGGCGAAATCATCGATCACACAGAACGCATGAATTCCATTAAAGTCTCTCAGCCAATTTTAGCGAGTCAAAATGTATAACTTATAGATCCCCTGTTAAGCCTCGGAAGAATTTCAATTTTCCTCGTGGCGTCTCTCGATTCATAACTTTTCCCCGCTTTACCTAAGAATGATCGAAAAATTTGCCAGGCTGGATATCCCCCAGGAGCCCCATGGTTACAGGTTAATAAAAGCACTAATCGCGCCCTGCTCTTAATTGCTTTCATCACGCCGCAACGTTTTATATTTTTACAATTTTCCGAACGACTGACGTATAAACAAACATAAAAGGCGAAATTTCAAAAAGCTATTT